CTGATTAAAATTGAAGACTACAGTCTGCAGTATGGATTACACCTCAATATACAAAAAACAAAAATCCTCACAACTGGACCAATAAGCACCATCATGATAAATGGAGAAAAGATTGGAGTTGTCAAAGACTATTACTTGGTTCTACAATCAACACCAGTGGAAGCAGCAGTCAAGACATCAGATGGTATATTGTATTGGGCAAATTTGCTGCAAAAGACCTCTTTCAAGTGCTGAAGAGCAAAGATGTCTCCTTGAGGACTAAGGTGTGCCTAACTCAAGCCATGGTATATTCAATTGCCTTATATGCATGTGAGAGCTGGATAATGAGTAAGGAAGACCAAAGAAGAGTTGATGCTTTTGAGTTGTGGTGCTGGCAAAGAATGCTGAAAGTACCATGAACTGCTAAAAGAATTAACAAATCTGTCCTGGGAGAAGTGCAGTCGGAATGCTCCTTGGAAGTGAGAAAGACCAGACTTCGTCTCACCTGCTTTGGTCATGTCGTCAGAAGGGACCATTCCCTGGAGAAAGATATTATGCTTGGTAAAGTAGAGGGTCAACAAAAAGGGGGAAAGCCCTTAATGAGATGGATTAATACAGTGGCTGCAACCATGGGCTCAAGTATAGCAAGGACCATGGGGGATTATGGAGCTGTTATTTTTATGTTATTTTTCTACTTGGATAAATAACTGTGATTAATTTACTTGTAGATTTACTAATACTGGACCATCTTTGTGTTTTTTACAATAAACCCCTTTCTTTTAACATGCTGTTAAATTACTCAGTAATAATTTAAGTATGTTACATTGATATTCACAAGTTACATTGGCCTAAGATTTTCCCAGACAGTCTTTGTCAGTATCGATATTATACTTAATTCATCTTTTAAAAAATGGAATATTTTTTTTGGTCTGTTTCTATGGCCCCGTATATTGAAAATAACATTAAGAGTAACTTACTCTTTCAAGCTTGGTGAAATTCCTCCCTGAAATCATCTGGCCTTGGAGCTTTTTTGGGGGCAGTAGGGGTAGGGGTAGGGAACTTTTTAACAATTACTTATAAAATTTATTCTATGAAAATCTGTTTCATTCTCTTAGGATTAATATTGGAAAATTATTTTCTTTCCTAGAAAATTTATCCCCTTGATTCAGAAAAGCAATATCTTCAATACTCTTCTAAGAAATTACTGCCATGAATAGTGGAGTCAGATAGCTGAACATTGGGTCTCATTATTGTGAAAATCCAAGAATAACACAGACTCTAGCAGGATGATTTCATCCCACCCAGATTTCACATTTATAGCCAGATCCTGTTTCTATTGTTTTTTACTGAGCTGTGTTGAGACATGCCTTCCTTTCTCACCTCAGCCACTCATTTATATGTGAATTACACTTCCCTTACTTCCAAAAAAATTTGAATCGGTGTGCTTCCATTGATTCCAGGACAAGTCAGGAACATGTGGCTGTAAGCAAGCGTTTGTCAGCATTATTAATGTAATAATGAAGTGACCCCTTCTTGGGTTTCCGAGGTGGTATCTCTATGGAAGTAGATCTCCCAGTCTTCCTTCCAAGGAGTGGCTGGTGGGTTTGAACCTCCAACCTTCTGGTTAACAGTCAAATGCCTTAGGCACTACGCCAATAGAACTCCTTATGATCAATTACTATGTGTAAAATTCTTTGGGTTGCTATTATCACTATCAGTATTACTGGTGCACTTTTTTATGAAGAACAGAAGCTCTTAACAGGGGTGATTTTGCCCCCCAGGGGACACTTGGTAATATCTGGAGACAATTTTGGCTACCACAACTGGCATCTCAATCCTGGCATCTAGTGGGTAGAGACCAAGGATGTTATTAAACATCCTATAATGCACAGGAAGCCCACACGACAAAGAATTATCCAGCCCAAATAATAGTGCTGAAGATGAGAAATCTGGATATAGAAAATTTTTTCCTCTCTTTGTGTCTTTCAGGATTTTATAGAATCCTTATCAAAACTTTCAGGATACAAAAGTCAAGACATTTCTCAAATTTGGAGTAAAGTCTACGATCCTTTATTCTGTGAGGTAAAGAAAGAAATATCGAAGATTAATTTGCAATCTGACTTTGTGATGTATGCCTATTTCGAAACAGATTTTTTGCTGATGTGTTACTTATCTATCCTTCCTCTGTCATCGAAACATAATTCAAGACTTCTTTATATTGACTTGAAAATTCCAACTTCTTTATTCTCTCCGCTATTTATGTTTCACCCTTTAGAAAGTTGTTTTTCTTCCATGCCTTAGCACTTACTTACTTTTCAGTTGCTTGGGGTACTGGAATCCTGTCACGGATTTTAGGAGCCCTAGCAGTGAGGTTTTTTTGAGTAGCATAGTGCCTAAGGCATTTGACTGCTAACCAGAAAGCTGGTGGTTCAAACCCACCAGCCACTCCTCGGAAGGAAGACTGGGCAATCTACTTCTGTAGAGATACCGCCTTGGAAACCCAAGGAGGGATCGCTATGAGTTGGAACTGACTTGACGGCAGTGAGTTTGATTTTTGGTTTTTGGAGTGGTACAGTGGTTAAGTGCTCATTTGCTAACTGAAAGGTCAGCAGTTGGAATCCACCAGTGGCTCTGCAGGAGAAAGGTATGGCAGCCTGTCCCATAAAAATCACAGCTGTAGAAATCCTATGGGCAGTTCTATTTTTTCCTATAAGGTTGTTATGAGTTGAAATCATCTTGATGGCAATGGGTTTGGTTGATCACGCATTTTAATGAAAAGAAAAAAAGCAATGTTGTATAGAAAAAGAAACAAAATATCACTTGATTTTTAAAAATATAACTTAACAAGCAAATTGTAAGCCAGGCTATTGAATTTGGCTTATCAGGAAACTTTCTTCCTTGCTGGGCTAAACATAAGAAACAATCTTTGTAGCTACATTACTGTTTTGTTTTTCAAGATTATGTCTTGTTTCTTATTCACCATGCTCCATCTTCTGGCCAAAAGGAGTACTTTATATTCTACTTTCCAACCAGTTCACTAAATCCCAGGACTAAATTCTGACTGCCCATATTTGAGTGCCCAAATTCTGACTATTCATCTTTCCCTGATGTTGAGGTCATCACGAATGTCTGGGACAGCAGTTGGTTTCATAATTCTCCTTGTCCTTCCTCCATGAAACAGTTAATTGGCTCAAGTATATGCTACTTTCCTAATGATTTCACTTTGTCATCAGCATTTGTTTCAGTGAAGATTTATTTGCCTTATGAAAGAGCCTTCAATGGAAACAAGAGCCTATATTTTGATTCCCATCTTGATATTTTTTTCTTCTTTACTCAGTTTGATCTGAATTATTCCATAATGTGGCCGTATGTGGTATAGTTTTCATCCCCTCCTCATTCCCTCTGTAGGTCATTTCACGTTGCTATCCTCTTTCATGAACTCTCTCTCGATCCTACCTTTGAAACCGGGGGAATCATAATCAACTCTCCATACTCATTGCCATTGAGTCAGATCCAACTCACAGAAACCCCTCCTTGGGTTTCTGAGGTGGTACCTCTATGGACATAGATTGCCCTGTCTAGATGGTAATAAATATTGCCCTGCTCTACAACTTTTTCATCCATGTAGCAAATATTCACCAAGGTGCAAAGTTCTGTGAAGAGTCTGAACTAGAGTCTAACGGGGGAAAAACTAAAACTAAAAATAATCCTCTACCACTGAGTCAATTCTAACTCATAGTGACCCCTTAGGACAAAATAGAACTGTGCTATAGGGTTTCCAAGCCTCTAAATCTTTACAGAAGCAGACTGTCTCATTGTTTTCCCACAGAGCAGCTGGTGGGTTCAAACAACCAATCTTTTGGTTAGAAGCTGAGTGCTTTAACCACTATGCCACCAGAGCTGCTTGATGGGAGCAAGAGATATATTATTGAAAGCTCTAGAAATACATTGCCTTCCGCAGGTCTTTACATGGCCTCTCAGGCAGCTCATTCAGTTTTTAAGGAAGCATTGCCAAACCCTGGTAAGTTTATCTTTCACCAGGTTTCACTTTCCACACAGGTTTGTGAAAGATTTTTAAACCTTTTCTGAAGGAATGAGGTAAGTTTTTCTGTTCTGCACACTGAACTCTGCAAATACGAATCACCCATTGATCCAGAGTTAAATCAAAAGCTATGGACTTGGCAAGAAAGGACAAATTGGTTTTTCTTCTAAGAATCATTGTCACTACTTATCACAGTATAAAATTTCTAGAAAGAATTAGCAGGACAAGGAAGACTAGACCCAGTAGATCTTGTGGGGTGAAAGAGGCTAAAAAGTCAACAAAGAGATCAGGAGACAACTTAGTCAGTTGGCATAACACAGTTCACAAAGATAATGTTCTACATCCTAGTTTGGTGAGTAGCATCTGGGGTTTTAAAAGTTTGAAGTACAATGATTAGTCTCTACTCATATGGACAGAAAGAGAACAAATGAGATCAAAGGCTCAAAAAGAAACTAGTCCATGGGACTATTAGCCCACATGAAGCATAACTTCTCCTAACCTGAGACCAGGAGAACTAGGTGGTGCCTGGCTACCACAACCACCTTTCTGATCAGGGACACAATAGGAGGTCCCAGACAGAATAGAAGGGGAAAAAAAACAACAATAACCTAACTGCCCTCAAGTCAGATGCAACTCATAGTAACCCCTCCTTGGGTTTCTGAGGCGGTATCACTATGAAAGTAGATTGCCCAGTCTTCCTTCCAAGGAGTGGCTGGTGGGTTTGAACCACCAGCCTTCTGGTTAGCAGTCAAATGCCTTAGGAACTACACCACCAGAGCTCCCCAAGAAGAAAAATATACAGAACTGAAATTCTTAAAAACAACCAGACCTACTGGACTAATAGAGACTGGAGGAACCTCCAAGAATATCACCCTTGAACATGGAATTGAAGCTATTTCTGTAGGTCGCCTTTTAGTCAAATAATACATTGGATTATAAACAATATCATCATGAATAACGTGCTCCCTTAAACAAGTAAGTATATGAGACCAAATTGTCAACATTTACCCAAAAGCAAAGGTGAAAAGACAAGGAGGGGAAGGGAAGATACATCAATGCAAATAGAACAGATAGAATAGAAATAATGAGAATGCTGACACATTGTAAAAAATTACCAATGACACAGAACAATTTGTGTACAAATTGTGTAGTATGTTATGCCAATTGAGCTTCATGTCCCCTGCGATCATGGTCCTGAGCCCTCAGGGTGGTTGGCTGTGGCCAAGAAGTTATCAAAATTTTGCCCCTGGTTAGCTGTAGTGTATATTTGGACATTTTTGCAGCACTTACAAATACATATGTAGAATATTGTCTGTCAACTTTGTTGGCAACCTTATATATATATAGTCATGGGTATAGTCCCTTTTGTATAAAAATTGTTAAAGGGAAACTTAATTTGCTGCATAAACTTTCACTTAAAACAATAAAATATTATTGTTAATAATATATTTTTTTAAAGTCAACAAAGAGGACAGTCAGAAATAAAAATATATTCATATTTTCTTCCCTTTTCTTTGCTACAGAGAACTCACAATTTCACTTTACCTTCCTGGGCCACTGAGGGTACCATGACTAAGTTGAGAGAATTATCAGAATTGTCTGTCTTGGCTCTCTATGGAATTCACAAGCAGAAAGAGAAATCTAGACTCCAGGGAGGTAAGTATACAATAAATGAGAAGAGCAAATTAGATTTTCAATTGGGCGACCTTGGTCTGAGTCCTCCTACCACCCATTAGCTATGTGACTTCTGACAAGTCACTTCATCTCTCTTGCTTCAGTTTCCATTCTGCAAAATTGGAATAACAATGAGTCCTATATTGTAAGGCTACTGTGAGGATCAAAATGAATTAATGTACTAAAAAAAAAAAAAAATTACCCAGCAGGATACAGAACATGTGTAGGGCCAGAGCCCAGGAAGAAATCAATCTCATGAACTAAACCAACAAAGAATGCAGAGGGCAGCAAATATGCCTTGTTGGCTGCATAATTCCTGGCCCACCAGGTGCTAGCAATATGACTCAATGTCATGCCCCATCAGATGGTGGAGATGAATTTCTGATTTATTTCCCCAAACCTAGTTAGGATGGACTCAGGAATCTAGCCCCTTGTGATTGAAACTGCAGTTCATGGACTGGCAGCAGCAGCAGCACCTAGCAACTTGCTAGAAATGCAGACTCTCAGACTCCAGTGAGATCGGCTGAATCAGAATCCACATTTAAATGAAATCCTCAGGTGCTCTGTGAGTACCTTAAAGTGTGAGAAGCACTTCTCTAGATGCATGAATGGTGAAGAAAAAAGCAGAGAAAGCTAGGCAGTAGTTGACAATAGTCTGCTAATAGATTAGGGTGTGTGTGTGTATGTGTGTGAGTGTAAATAAGAGATGACATTTATCCCAACAGCCTGCTCATATTCCTTCTTTTACTTCCTTTGGTAACTGTTGTTGTTGTTGTTGTTTGCCGTCAAGTCGGCCCTGATTATATTATATTTGGAGGAAGCTGCTTCTCTACGGGTCTCAGTTTTCCCATCTGATGAGTGGATAACTAGATTTTGTCTATAAGATCCCTTCCCTGAGGTCCTCTCCTGGCCTTGCATTCTAAAGGCTGGCACTTGTGTGAGGGTGCTTGGCCCAATTTCTGGAGGAATTCCAGAAATGTGATTGATAAGTCATGAAATTGTTTCCTAAGTGGTACCTAGCAAAACACAAGCCCAGCCTACTGGTTAGATCTGACTAGGCAAGTGAGATTTGTCAATTGCATGCTTGTTAAATGATGAAGTGGTTGAACAGAATCCTGCACAGAAATCATATAGCCTAGGTGACACAGAGTCACATGACAACATCAGGACTTGGACCAGCATCTTCTGACCTTTGCCAAAACTTCTGTTCTACCAGCTGCTTCCAGGGGTAACACTGTTCTGAAAAGATTCCTCCAACACATACACACAAAGAAAATCCCTGACACTGAGGAAGAAACAACTGGTCAGTCCTATCAGTGTTAATATTGAGCACTCTTCCTGCTTTAGATCAGGGATTGGCAAACTATCGTCTGCAGACTGAATCTGATTGGCTGTCCATTTTTTTGTAAATAAAGTTTTATTGAATCACAGCCACACAGATTCATTTACATACTGCCTATGGCTGCTTTCAACAGCAGAGTTGAGTATATGTGACCAACAGACCTCATTAGCCTGAAAAGCCAAAAATATTTATAATCTGGACCTTTACAGAAAATATTTGGTGATCCCTGCTGTAGCCTAATAGTAAGCAAAGTAAAGTTTATATTATAAGATGAATGGTATTTTGTCTAAATTATGCAGGTCTAATAAAGAATGTTTTCTGAACACTTGATTGTACTCATGAGGAATCTGTACCTTGACCAGGAGGCTGTCATTCGAACGGAACAAGGGGACACTACATGGTTTAAAATCAAGGAGGGAGTGTGTCAGGGTTGTATCCTTTCCTCATACTTATTCCATCTGTATGCTGAGCAAATAATCCAAG